TTCTAAGAAAAAATTTGGAGACGTTTTCGAGAAAATCTAGTTTTTTTACATTTTTTAATATTGCACATATTTAATGCAATAATGCGCGAAAACTACCAAAAGTTTCAAAAAACTGTACATGAATATAATGAAGGACCTAATTATGGACAGTAAATTTTATAGAAAGGAAAAAGTTCTATCTTTAATTTTGTAGTTATAGGAAGACGCCGAAAAATTTCAAACTTTTGCAACTTTTTAAAATTCAGAATTAACAGAGAAAATCGGACCTTCATAAGTGTATTTTACTCTATCCTTGGATGAAAAGAAAAAGAGAAAATGTGGAGCTATTTTTGAGAAAATTTTGAAAAGGGGCTTCATGTAAAATAACCCCAAATTTTAAAGAATGTTTTTCAATATCTCAAAGTTTCGACTCGAGCCAGATGGACAAGGGTTTCTTCAATTTGGAAAAAAATAACAACAAAAAACCTACGTACAGTTTAGGCGCTAGTAGTGTTCATAGACGGACCCATGGACAGACGGACAGATGGACAAACGGACAGACGGACAAACCGACAAAGGGAGAGACGTTTTGATAAAAAACACTTTTGCGGTACCAGGGGACTCCAAAACGTATATTTCTGTAGAAATCTCGAAATCGATTTTCCGCAGCATTACATAACTCTCTCTATATTAAATATATCTCCGTACGAGAAACTAAAATATTGGAGAATTTTTTGAGAAATTGTATTTTTTATAAACTGCATTTATTTCAAACACGAATTACGCGAAAACGACTCGTTTCTTCAATGTGAATATACGAGCTCCCTAATTATAAAAACTATTTTCAACCCAAATGAGCTACAAATTTTGGTTCTTGTCCCTTATCGAGCCTCACGAGAAACACGACTTACGACTATGAGAACATTAAGACGGATGATAGTGTTTACGAAATAATGATAGTCCTACCAGCGGTCGAGAAAACGTGCCGATAGTGAAGCTACATTTATGTCGAGAGTACGGAAAGCGACCATCTCAACATTTGCTCAATGGATCAAGGAAACTGGACGAATCACTGTACGAAAACCTAATTGATATGGGAGACTTTGAGATCGAAACTTTGAGAACTATGGTTTTATGAGTTGTATTACATTCACTTAATAGAAGTTAAAATAAAATAGGCATCTCAGATGTGTGTTTTAATGATTTCTAAACTTAGCAAGTGTCACGCTTGAATGTCAGAATTAATAGAAGATAAAATACAATGTACATCTTAAATTCATATATGAATGATTTCTTGACCTAACAGTATATAAACTGCTTGAAATTTGGAAATAATAAAACATTCCAAAAGGTTCGCCTTTCCTGGTATACAACTTTCAAGATGAGCTCTGAAAACTTTCTTCATGAGAATGGAGTATGAGAACTCACAGGAAGAAGGTCGAGGATTCCACCTATTGTCTCAATCTTTCTTTAGTAGGAATCTGGGGCGAATTTCTTGTCATATCACAAACTTCTCAGAAATGTGTATACCGAGAATTAGAGAAAGGAGAATATGCTATTTAAAAAGTCTATTTATTGGTACCAGATGAAGTGTTGTATTGAGGTCCCAATATCCGGGCAAAGCGCGCCAAGCGCGCTCTAGTCGATGTTAATTGTGCAAGAAACAGCGAGACCAAACTAGAGCCGGCGCTTGGCAAGGCAGACCGGGCGATTGCCCGGGGCCCCGCAAAGTCAAGGGGCCCGATAGAACTGTTAGAAAAAAATAGTAAAAAATTGAAAAAGAAATTAGAACTCTGGGGTCCCGGGAGGTCTCGCTCTTTCTTTCACAATTAACATCGACTAAAGCGCGCTTGGCGCACAGATTGGGACCTCAATGCCGCACTTTATCTGGTTCCAATAAATAGACTAATTGTCTGATACTATTTGTTGACGTTAACATCAGTGATATTGTACTTCTATGTTAGAGGGAATGGCGTTGTTTGTAAAATTACTTGTCTTTTTAATGAATGAGGAACAAGGTCATCTTCAGACTTAAGAAATACTATTGAGATGTTCCAGAAAACCTACTTAACCATTGAGCGACATATTAATCTGCTCACTCTCAGAATTCTCAGAGATTTTCGAGATCATGGGAGATGGACTATTTGGGAAAGGGGGATCTGACCGTCACGTGTCCCTAGGGTGGGAATGGGAACAGGCTGGGGAAGAAAGGATCATGCGCGATCCAGGCCACTTAAGGTACTGTGCTTCTGGCATCCATCTGGAATTAATAGGAGAAAATCAATGAAATGACGAATCAGACAAGAACGATCAGACCTATCTCTAGAATTCCCATCTACAATGGTAGGATTCAACTCAGTTATTTAGCTAGTATACAATGTAGTACCGACAGGTTTCGAAGCCGGGGCCTCCCGATCTATGAAGTTTTAGCTGCAAATTCACGATCATGTGCTGCTGTGCTCAATAATTAGTACATAAAGTTAGAGAATTTCTTATTTTACTGGAGATTTCGAATCAAATGAGACTTTCATAGTCTTGAATTTGCTATAATTCTACAGTTTCAACTCGTATATACCTTACGTAGAGTCTACTAATAGTCAGCTGTACACTGCGACTAAATACGGAAAACCTGCCTCGTGTACTGCGTTCTAATTGTACTCTCCGGCTCCGTATCAACATGATAAGCGACATGTTCGTGCATTGAGCAAGAATGACACAATTTTCTTAGACCGGGGTTCATATGTTGTCATGTGCTGTTGTTAAAAATCCAAAACTCTGACTTTTTTATTTACTCTGATTTTTTACGCAAAAACTGAAGACGCGCTGATATCTATCCCAATCATTCGCAAAAAATACATGCCACATCTGGAGCTTTCAATTCAATCATTGAGAAAGAGATCATATACGTTTAAGTATATTTTTGTCACGACTGTTTCATATTTTATCCATCTATCATCAACTCATTTTCACTCAACACCTTCCAACTCCATCCCCTCCTATACGTCACATAAGTTGACGATATTTTATGGATTTCAGTATCTATTAATTATATACGGTCAATTTTATAATGTAATAATTTTTACGAATTGAATGACATAACGTTTCTCAGAACGATGTGTCTGCTTCATCACGTAAAGTAGTAACAACTAAAGTAGTAACAAGTAAATAATAACTTTAAAATTATGTAGATAAGTTTTGTATAAATTACATTGGTCTGAAAGACATCGTGCCATGCAATAAAAAACTATTACGAATTGACTGTCTGTAATTAATAGATCGTATAATCCATAAAATTTAAACAGACGGTCTCAAAAATAACATTATTGACGATAATGTTTATTTTAAATCAAATAAAACTTATTTAGATAATGTTGAGGCAGGCACGGATCCACGGGAAGGAAAATGAGGGAAAAACAACCCTCTAAATGTTTCAGTATCTATTAATTTTAACTTTTCACGAAACTTTCAAGCAACAATATTTTAGGACCATCATTAAAACTAATAAAATCGTATTGCAGTATGAGCAAGTGTAGCCTACGTCATTTAACAAAATCTGTAATATGACACCTTCGACCAAAACATTTTGATATTCTCCTCCCAAAATTCGTCTTTGGATCCGCCCCTGGTGGAGGATGTTCAGGATATTTGCCATGCGTTTATGTCAAGCGGTGCATTTCATTTTCATGGACAACAATTTTGCCATGCCGCCTTTAGTTGAAAATATTACTACGACTATTAAACTTTCTCGAATTCAAGTTCACACCAAAAAAAGACTGGTAGCAATGACTTCATCTCCTCGATGTGCTTTCTCCAATTCATCACGAATATTTAAGTGATATTAACAATTAATATTTCTTAATTCCACCAGGTACAACACATGTTTATTTATATTTTTGCATCAAACACACAACACTGCTCGACATTTTGAAAAAGGGCAAAAAACAATGAGCGTGATTTACTAGTCGGCCAGCTGAACTTCGTCACACTACGTCAGTGGGATACCAATGGGGGAGATCTTGGGGCTTCATCCCTAGAATGCAGTGGCAAATTCGCAATTACATTTGTTATTAATTTCAAGAGAAAAATTAACATATTTAATTTTTTATATTTATAATTTCCAAAAATGAATTGGTTCACCTTGTTATAAATAAATATTATAAAATATATTTTACACTTTTTTTTTGCATTTCATGTTAGATCACAATAGTCGTCTAAATCAAGGTTATTTCGCCTGGATAACGTCTCCCCCTTATCCCAAGAAATTTGCTGGTTGCTCTATTATACACCACTAAACAGTGTTCTTTTCTTAGAATAAACATTAAAAACTTATTTAAAGTAGAAGAAAATATTCCTATATTTTTTTCTTAGTACTAAATCTAGTGAATTATGACGCCTTCAACTACGGTGATCTTGCTTTCTGACATAACATCAATTATATTTTTACCTTTATAATTTCGTCAATCCATAAATTAAACAGATAATCCCAATGACAATTTTAAATATACATGTCACACGGGTTGTTGTGTTTTAACTTGCACTTGAAATTAACAGGTACATAATTATTACAAGTTAGAGACGGTTCATTTCACAAGGCGGAGGACTGACATTACATTTAAAGGGATAATGCTATTCTGTTTCAATTTACTGAAATACGTATTAATTAAAATGTTTCCTTTTAAAACTATTTTTTCTAACGAAAGTGAAATGTCAGAAATAAATAAACCCATAAAGTTGTTCTATAATTCAACTGCTCAACAGTTTGACCAATAGATTTTCTGCACTGCGCAGGTCACCAAAACGTGCTACCACTACGTGATCTTGAGGGCAATGCCCGCCTCTATTATAAGGACTTGCTCGAGACCACCTGACACGCCCTGACAACGCCTATATATTGTCACTGCGTTTCTTCCAGCACAGTCACGCAAAACTGTGACCAAAGCCAGCAACAAAGAGCACACCCGTTGCCGAGCACCCAGCGGCCGGGGCTCGGCCTCAACCGAAATCCCTCTCGCAGAACTTACCTCGTAGCCGCAGTGTTCCTGGGTTTCAGGATCGTTGCGTTGCACGGGAACAGACGCTGTCACAGCAGCGCACACCACAAGCAGCGTCCAGACCGGTGCCGCCGTCATCGTTGCAGGTCTACGCGTCGCGACGCCGGGCGGTCAGCTGCTGCGGGCCGAGCGGCGGCGCGGCGGCAGGTTATGTGGTTTGTGGCTGAGGGCGCGGGGGGAGCGCGGCGGGCGGGTGATCGCGCGGGGAGTGGGGGCGGGCGCGCGACGCGGCAACGTTGCGCGCGACAGCAGATCGACCAAGCAGGACTCCCTCCGTCGACTCCGCGCCGAGCCGCGCCGGGTCAAGCGCTCCGGCGCAGGACAAAGTCCTCTCCGGGACACGCGCCATTTCTGAACATTTTCCGCACGTGGGAGCGGTATAATAAGAAATGGAGCGGTACGATTAAAGCTGGGAGGTTCATGCAGGCAACTGCACGTTTTTTTGTTGATGGCCGTATCTGTCGTAAACCTCTATTCTTCAGGGCTATTTTGGATAGTTTAGATGTTTGGGGCATGTACTATGTATTTATTTGTGTATTTTTCTATTTTTTCCTAAAAGAACAGATTTATTTTTAAATAAAAATTATTAATGAGTGCAAATCACAAAATTTCTTGATGATTGAAACGGGCGTATTAAAAAAAAATTAAATAACAGAGCTATGAAAGTAAAGTTTATAGAGGCAGCAAGTATATAAAGAATGGGGAAATTATACAATGGGAATATGATAATAAAATCAGAAAATTCAACATACCTTTCAGAGAATGTGTTTAGCACATATGTGTCAAAATACAAATATGCTCCCATCACACCATATAATTTGGAAAGGTCATTTCGATAAAGAAGATGGTAGGAGACGCTTTCTAAAAACAAAACAAAAATCGTAATTTGTATAATACTGTGTATTAAAGCAAAGTGAAATGTACAGAAGTAGATAATCTAATTTTAATTTGCATACGCCCTATTTCTCTAGGTGGCAAAAAGATGAGAATGTCATTTCAAAATATATGATTTTAAACCAAACATCGCATATCTTAATCATTTCTGGGAAAATTCGAAATGTTGGGGGCGTATCTGCATTTTCTGAAAGCTTCCATAAACTTCTCAGCGCTAATTATGAATAAGGCTTGACATCGCTACCTCACGAATATACGGAGAGACGAAGCAGCAATAGAGACATCGGAAGTTTTTAAATCTAAGGCGAAAAAGGGAATTTTAATTAAAGGAGGAAGTGTGAACTTATTACTGAGACGAGATGATAACTAATGAATAAAGATGCGAATTATTTTTTTAAAATTTAATTCAAAATTGTATCTCTCATTCACAAAAGCGAATATTCATTCGACTAATCATTTCTATGGAATTATCTTTTGATTCACATAATGTTCTGAGAGACTTGACTCCTTAATCTTCCTCCCGCGTTCTTTGGTGAAGCATACAAACTTTATTAAAAATGAAATTGATAAAATTTTGAAAATTCATTGTGGACTTTTGTTAAGTTATAGATTCTATCGAAATGAAATATGTTTTCAAATTTTTGGTCTCAACGAACGTTGAATCAGATCGAAAGCCCTTACTTTCTAATAATTTGTTATCTTAAAATGATGAGTTGCGTTTGAGAATTTTTGAAGAATTAAAAAAGAATCGAATATTGAACTCCGCGAATCTTTTTATACTACATTCTGAACCAAAAATTAAAGCTACAATCATCTAGAGATGCTTTACTTCTCTCGAATGAAACAAAAACAGTTGCTCTGAATACAGCGAAAACTGCTTACAGTCAGAAAGCACCCGATGCTCGAAGACAATCGGAGCACAGGCAGGCATTTTCTTGAAGTGTCTGCTCTCACCCTACTTGAAGCAAAAGTAAAACATTTTGACGGTTGCTTTTTGGCACTTTTCCATAGAACTATTTCATTTGATTTCACTAAAATTTACTTTAACGCATTATTTTATTGCTTATGTTTGTGTGAAATATTTTTCGCGTTATCAAAAGAAAATTCTTTAAATGAAATTAAATATAAATATATTTCTTACGCAGTTTTCTAGTTTCATAATTATCCTAAACGTGATCTAATTTTGAGTGATATTATTGCGTAGCTAATAGATAATTGCTATCTGTACAACACCTAAATTGATATTTTGACTAGTGTTGTTGTTATACCCATGTTATACACGAAATTTGATGTACAACATTCAAATCTAAATTTAACCATTGCGAACGATATATTTTTAAACGTAGGAATTTACTTGTACTTCATACGTTCAGATTTTGTAATATCACACTTTAATATTTCTATATTAGACTTAATAAACTTTCAAAGCGTAAATTACTTCGATAGCAATACATCATTATGCAGTTTAGGGAGGTGTCATTCACACACCTCTCACGCAAATGTTGTTACACACAAATTTTTAAATACATCACTTTTCATGTGGATTAAGAAACTACGAAGACCCGCTTACTTTCGATGTCAATATACTATTATATTAATATTAAACCTTCATGTTCTATTACAACCTTAATAGGTGTCTTCCGAAAATTTTAATAAATTCGACTTGATTTTATATATCACCTACCACTTGTTTTAATATGTCATTAATCAATATTATTTTTGAAATTTGATTTTTTTAAGAAATATGAATTTAATCGTGTCATTTTTCTACTTTCGACAGATAACCATTATGTTTTCATTTTTTCAATTTATTTTAGAATAAATTATTTCCTGAAAGAAATGTGTGGCCAATATGGTCCATGCACGATTGTAAAGGAAGATTTTCTTCATCATCATGCGAATCAAAACGCAAGTGTATGAAGTGTAGTGTACATAATGTCATCTTAATATCTTGCAACGCACTTTCCAGAGTATCCTTTGTTATGTTCATTTGTGGAACGAGTTACTGAGGATTTTATCAGATTTTTGTTTAAAAAATATTGAAATTCTATTGATTAAAAATATTGAATGCGGTGACCAACTTTACAAATTTTATTTCCTTGTATATTCCCGCCGAAATATTCAACGAACAGCGTTGTGTGTGGCAATTTTCAGAAACAGTTATATTTACGCACGTCGACGACAGATAGAGCGATAGTACATAAGGTGAAAATAGACCGGCTTGCATGGAGCTAAAACGAATGATTGCGTGAATCGAATTGTGAGTGAGGTTATAGTTTAAGTAGCTGAAATATTGTAATAATTGTTACAGACATGGGGAACACAAATTCAACTAGAAAAGTAACAGTGCCTAATGATGATCCAGCTGGTGTAATTAAGGTGTCAGAAGCAGTTGTTCAACGTTTGAAAGGTACTTCGGAAGAAGTTCCGAGGCAGAAGAGTCCTGTGGACGTAAGATCTAATATCCAATCTTCTGCGCCGATTGTTTATCCTCCTCAGTACTCAATGGCAGGATCGTTGACTGCTCTTCAAATTCAACAGGCCAAGGAGGAGGAGCTGAGGAAGAACGATGAGTATTGGATGCAGCGACTTCAGCGACAGCAGGAAACTCACAAGGCTATGGATTTTCACATGCAACAGCAGTACGACTCCGCAATATCCGATGTAAAGGGTAGTTTGTTTGCATGTCCAGATCCTAATGATGAAGTGCCGTGCCGAAATTTGAAAGATAAAGTTACAGAATGCTACAAGAATAATCCTAAAGCAGTGTTGAAATGTAGTCAAGAAGTTTTGGCTTTCCAAGCTTGTGTTGATATTAAAAGGATGGAAAAAATCGAAAATAGGGCTTGAAAGCACAATATGTAGCTTGGAAGTTGATGAATAAATTGTTGGTAGAATTGTAATAGTATTTATAGAGATGGTGAAGTGAAGGCATCAGTGTGTCTGTTCTCATATTCTCCTTTGATGACAACGTATTTCATTTTGCTGCATTGTGTTTACTTGTGGGAGTTTTGTTCCTCTTAATGAGTACTTCTGCCCACTTCAGGCATTATTTTGAATATTTGTAAAGAGAAAATGAGAAGAGCGAGAGCCTTATATTTTATTGTGATGTAATATATCTATTCAGTGTACAGGAATACAGATAACATGAATTCATAAACCAGTGGTTTTCTATTAATTTCTGTGCAGACAAGCATTATATTATGAGCTGCCCTGCCTCATTTTCAAAGTCCTTGCAGTGTAGAATTGCTAAGCAACTGAGGACTATTTTATGAAGAAAGAATGAAATAAAGATAAAATCATTATGCCAATAATACATTTTTATTGTCTGGTTAAAATAAGTATTCTGACATCAGTCTGAGGTGTTGACTGTGGAGTTTCATTGTTGTTAAACAACTTAATAACGAGTATTCAGTTTTGAAGAGCTTTTTTTTTTTAATTATTGCAACACATACATTAAGTATTTACTCACAAATTCTGACCATGATGATTTGATTTTGATATGTCATACTTTACATTTGGAGGTATGTAGGCAAACAAATACTGAATATCTAATGCTTTAATACTAGCTAGTACTTGGTTTTCTTTGTCTCATGAATAGTTCAAAAGTATACTGGTTTCTCTCGACGTTCTGCATCAGTTTCACAGTGAAAACTTGTATACATTCAGCTACATTAAACATGTGTTAAACATGCCAATTTTCTTCATATTTTTTTATTGGGAGCAAACATTTGTTTCCATGCACATCAAATCTTTGTAAATTTGGTAGGACTTCAGTGGTGATGGCACAAATAATATCTTTCAGTTTATAAAACATCCCGTTTCAGTAGGAGACATGTAATTTTAATCCAAAAAGTATGAGGGCAAATGATTTATTTTAATTTTAGTGTAGAAACTGCTATTTGTTCATAGTTTTTAATGAAAAAAATTTTACAAAGGGAAAATGAACATTTGAATTCAAATTTGAAAGTTTTTAATCAATTTTAGTTTACATAGGCGTATTAATCACGTTTACTTATTAATCATTTTAAGAATAATTTTAAGCTTATCAAAAAGCAGGTGATGTTTGTGTCACATACTTATTTTAATCGGACAATTTGTATTCATCTTGTTTTCAATATCATTCTTGCAATGCATTGGCAGGAATGGGCATTAATTTCTCTTTGCAAATGTATTTCCTTGCTTGTATGCACATTTTCCCCCTATAACACAAGCCATTCCTTGTCCTAATTGTTTTACGAAGGATCTGTCAAACAGTATGTTCTCTTGGTAGTTTTATGAACAGAGATGTCAAAATGTGTTTTGGAAGTGAAAATAGAAGAAATTGAATGAATGCAAGGCGATTTTCGTATTTCTATTGTTAATGGTAGGGGTTGATTGAAATATGAAACCTGATGTACTCTTGATTCAATTAATTTTTGTACTAGAGCAAAATCGTGCACTTCGCAATGAAAGCAATAAATTGGCGAGCAGGATTTTTCTCGCTGTATATCATTAATGTTTTGGATAAAGGGGATTAGAAATAATGAAAAAAAAAAAATAGAGAAATAAAAATGTTTCAAATTAAAAACTAGCAAGGAATTGGTCCCTTAATAGAGTTAAATTATATACTGGAAATATGAATATACCTTATGAATTCGTAAATTAATGTCGGAAAAGAGCAAGAGTTGAAATGGTTATATAATTCCAAATAAAAATTCCATATCAGTGCAAAAAGCAATTTATTACAAATGTTCACTTTATCATTTAACGTCAATAACCTTTAGAAAAATAAGAGGCTGGGAAGGAAAAACTGGTGTGAATGGTGGTGCACTCTTGTAGCTGTCTGTGGAACTACGCGAGAACAGTCGACTCGTATTAAAACCGCGAAAATTTGAAATGTAAGTTTTACGTACATTTTGTTAAGTGCTTTTAATTTCAAACAATTTGTAACAGAACTTGATATACAGTTGATTGGTTACGAGCCTATACAATAGTTGAGTTTCTTAGATGGTAGAGTGGCAACACTTGTAGAAATAATTGATAAGCTTTCATTTCTCATCAAAATATATAAATAGATCGATAAACTAATTGGTGGTAGTCCCTTTCTCTAGCTTTTATATCTGTTCCAGTACAGTATTGTCTTCACAGTTGATAGCAAGCAATTGAGTTCATTACAGTTTTTGAGCTCTTGTATGACAGCATTTGACAAAGAATTTTGTTTCCGAGTTTCAAACAGGATTCACTTTTCTTGGAACAGAGCAAATGTTGTGAGACTGTGTTGTTTCATATTTATGTTTTGCTTGGTAACAAAGAAGAGCTGGTGACAATAAGGTTGAAACCATCACCGAAGGTAAGTATTGAAGAAACAAATGCCAAGGTTAATTTATGAATATGTGCTTAATAATTCCCAGCATAACACGTGAAAGAGTTTTAAAGTGGGAACAGTCAGAAACACATAAAATTGAACATGCTTGATAAGAATAATTATTAAATTAATATGCAAATATTGCAGTTGTATTGAAAAAAATAATATACCTAGGAGACTCTGTTTATTACTGTGATTCAAATGAATTTATTATTTGTCAACCAAATTGTTTTGATAATGTACACAAATATTTGAAAATGTTACAGCAAATAGTGAATTTAATTGAAAAAAAAATTCATTGCTTTGCAGCAATGCATTTCTGCTGTGATATATTAAAAACTGAATTTTATTTAGAATCGTGCAATAATTGTGTATTTATTGTTGTAGTTTTCATCCATGTCATGAACTCTTCTAATTTTCTTTTAAGTTAAACAGTACTGCCAGTGAGTTGTATTATTACTCTATCAATGCAATGCTAGAAATAATGGAGTCTTAGAAAAATTCTCTTGTCAGTTGTTGAATGGTGTTTTATTTTACTCTTTCACTGAAGAGTTTACTTCAATATTTATTGAGTCACATATACAATTACAATCGTGTATGACGAGTCAATATGATGCCTTGGATGGCGAGAGTGAAGTTACATTACTGTTCACGAGCAAACAAGGGGCCATCTCAGCATTTGCTCAAAGGACCAGGGAAACTGAACAAAACCTGATTGAGA